GTGGTAGATACAAGTCCCGGGCGAAGCCGGGTAGTACAGCTAGTCTATATATATAAAATCGTTCATGTCTGTCTGTCTGTGTGTGTGTGTGTGTATTTCGGCCCATACGCACTTTCATTGGACGGCGGTTGCCCCTGGCAACGGCTAGCCACGCCTTCGCCGCTTTCATTGGACCTGGCAACGGCTAGCGACGCCTTCGCCAAGGGCTGCAGTTTCATTGGACGGCGGTTGCCCCTGCCAACGGCTAGCCACGCCTTCGCCACTTTCATAAGCTCCGTATTTAATTAAATAATAGCCATTACACAGTATTGTTGGAGCGCTGAGGGGGGGGGAAGGAACGCCACCCGTACCCTGCCTCTTCCAAGCCGACAATTTTAGGCGAGGCCGCAGGCTTTGCACGCTACTAGGCCTCGACACCCACCACGCCACTCTGAGGTAAATTCATCAAAGTTTTTCCTACTCTTCACTACACCCCCACCACAATGTGTGCTATTAATATTACTTTTAAACCCAACGCGCCAACAATCGATTACTTTAATGTTCACTGTACAAATACTCATTAAGCTGGGTGAGCGTACTGCCAGTCTATCATGTACACTGTAGCCTGCTTATTAAGCTCGGTGAGCGTACTGCCACTCTATCATGTACACTCTAGCCTGCTTATGAAGCTGACTGCGTGTACTGGCAGTCTATAATGTGGACTCTTGCCTGGTTATTATAATCGATTCTTTATATGTTCTTTGTACAAACAGTCATTAAGCTGCTTGAGCGACCCCAGTTCGATTCCAACTCACGCCCACCACCGCTGACGATTATTTGAAACGGACCTGGCCCTCCCCTAGGTCCACTCAGCCTCAAACGCGTAACTGCTGTCGTGTGTGAACATCGTCACTGGGGAGACAAAGGCGGCGGGGCATCGTGGATCCAAGTCCCGGGCGAAGCCGGGTCATGTGTATGTGTGTTTGTGTTTATGTGTATGTCTGTGTGTCTCTATGTATGTGTGTATGTATGTGTATGTATGTGTTTGTGTGTATGTGTGTGTGTATGTATGTGGGTTTTTTTTATGTCTTTATGTGTATGTCTGCGTGTCTCTATGTATGTGTGTATGTACGTGTGTGCATGTGTTTGTGTGTATGTATGTGTGTGTCTATGTATGTGTGTGTATGTGTTTTTGTGTATGTATGTGTGTGTATGTATGTGTGTTATGTGTCTGTCTGTGTCTGCATGTATGTGTGTGTGTATTGTGTATGTGTTTGTGTGCATGTATGTGTGTGTTTGTGTGTATGTGTATGTGTTTGTGTGTATGTGTGTGTATGTGTGTGTATGTGTTTGTATGTGTTTGTGTGTTTACGCTCGCATTACACAAATGTGTTGCTGGTCTAAGGCGTTCCTCGCACAGCATTGCCGCTTTATTATTTCAGTCGTTTACTGCCTTACGCACCCTGAAAATCGTGTGTGTCTGCAGCAAGCGCGTGTATGTGTACCTATGGACGCGCGCGCGTGTGTTGTGTAGGGGGAACGGTAGTGTAGTGCTTAGCGTGCTGTCTGTGTCTGTATGTGTGTGTGTGTGTGTCTGTGTGTGTGTCTGTGTGTGTGCGTGTGTGGTGTGTGGGGAGCGGTAGTGTAGTGGTTAGCGTGCTGTCTGTGTGTGTGTTTCTGTCTGTGTGTGTCTGCGTGTGTCTGTGTGTGTGTCTGTGTGTGTGTCTGTGCGTGTGTGGTGTGTGAGGAGCGGTGGGTGTAGTGCTTAACGCTACGCTGCGCTACCAACCCGGCAAACCCAGTTCGATTCCCGCTCACGGCCACCACCGGTGACGATTATTTGAACCTCCCCTAGGTCGACTCTGCCTCAAACGAGTAACTTAACTACTGTAGCGTATTAACATCGCCACTGGGGAGACAAAGGCGGCCGGCCGTGGTAGATACAAGTCCCGGGCGAAGCCGGGTAGTACAGCTAGTCATCTATATATATAAAATCGTGAATGTCTGTCTGTCTGTGTGTGGATTTCGGACCATACGCACTTTCATTGGATGGCGGTTGCCCCTGGCAACGGCTAGCGACGCCTTCGCCGCTTTCATTGGACCTGGCAACGGCTAGCGACGCCTTCGCCAAGGGCTGCAGTTTCATTGGACGGCGGTTGCCCCTGCCAGCGTCTAGCCACGCCTTCGCCGCTTTCATAAGCGCCGGAAATAATTAAATAATAGCCATTACACAGTGTTGTTGGAGCGCTGAGGGGGGGGGGAAGGAACGCCACCCGTACCCTGCCTCTGCCGGGTGGCCAATTTTGGTGAGGCCGCAGGCTCTGCACGCTACTAGGCCTCGACACCCACCACGCCACTCTGAGGTAAATTCATCAACGTTTATCGTACTCTTCACTCCACCCCCACCACAATGTGTGCAATTAATATTACTTTTAAACCCAACGCGCCAACAATCGATTATTTTAATGTTCACTGTACAAATAGTCATTAAGCTGGCTCAGCGTACTGCCAGTCTATCATGTAGACTGTAGCCTGCTTATTAAGCTCACTGAGCCTACTGACACTCTATCATGTACACTCGAGCCTGCTTATGAAGCTGAGTGGGTGTACTGACAGTCTATAATGTGGACTGTAGCCTGGTTATTATAATCGATTCTTTATATGTTCTTTGTACAAATAGTCATTAAGCTGGTTGAGCGACCCCAGTTAGATTCCAACTCACGCCCACCACCGCTCACGATTATTTGAAACGGACCTAGGCCTCCCCTAGGTCGACTCAGCCTCAAACGCGTAACTGCTGTCGTGTGTGAACATCGTCACTGGGGAGACAAAGGCGGCCGGGCATCGTGGATCCAAGTCCCGCGCGAAGCCGGGTCATGTGTATGTGTGTATGTGTTTATGTGTATGTCTGTGTGTCTGTATGTATGTGTGTGTATGTGTTTGTGTGTATGTGTGTGTGTATGTATGTGTGGGGAGCGGTAGTGTAGCGGTTAGCGCGCTGCGCTATGAACCTGGCGACAGGGGTTCGATTCCCGCTCACGGCCAACACCAGTGACGATTATCTGAACCGGTCCCGGGCCTCCCCTAGGTCGACTCAGCCTCAAATGAGTACCTAGTGCGGTGTGTAAACATCGCCACTAGGGAGACAAAGGCGGTCGGGCGTGGTGCTGGCCACCCACCCCCTCGTGTACCGTTCCGGCCTTCATAGGTGCTCGCTAACAGCACTTGCCCCTACAGTCTGTTCAGGCTATACGGGGGATCTTTGTCTTTTTATCTTTGTGTATGTATGTGGGTTTTTTTGTACGTCTTTATGTGTATGTCTGCGTGTCTGTATGTATGTGTGTATGTACGTGTGTGCATGTGTTTGTGTGTATGTTTGTGTGTGTCTATGTATGTGTGTGTATGTGTTTCTGTGTATGTATGTGTGTGTATGTATGTGTGTTATGTGTCTGTCTGTGTGTCTGCATGTATGTGTGTGTGTATTGTGTATGTGTTTGTGTGTATGTATGTATGTGTGTGTTTGTGTGTATGTCTGTGTGTATGTATGTGTGTGTATGTGTTGGTGTGTATGTGTGTGTATGTATGTGTGTGTATGTGTTTGTATGTGTTTGTGTGTTTACGCTCGCATTACACAAATGTGTTGCAGGTCTAAGGCGTTCCTCGCGCAGCATTGCCGCTTTATTATTTCAGTCGTTTACTGCCGTACGCACCCTGACAGTCGTGTGTGTCTGCAGCAAGCGCGTGTATGTGTACCTATGGACGCGCGCGCGTGTGTTGTGTAAGGGGAACGGTAGTGTAGTGCTTAGCGTGCTGTCTGTGTGTGTGTGTCTGTGTGTGTGTGTGGTGTGTGGGGAGCGGTAGTGTAGTGGTTAGCGTGCTGTCTGTGTGTCTGTGTGTGTGTGTCTCTGTCTGTGTGTGTCTGCGTGTGTCTGTGTGTGTGTCTGTGCGTGTGTGGTGTGTGAGGAGCGGTGGGTGTAGTGCTTAACGCTACGCTGCGCTACAAACCCGGCGAACCGAGTTCGATTCCCGCTCACGGCCACCACCGGTGACGATTATTTGAACCTCCCCTAGGTCGACTCAGCCTCAAACGAGTAACTGGTGTGGCGTATTAACATCGCCACTGGGGAGACAAAGGCGGCCGGCCGTGGTGGATACAAGTCCCGGGCGAAGCCGGGTAATACAGCTAGTCTATTATAATTATGGCATTGGGCTATACAGTAGTTCGCATTGTGTCCTTCGCCCAGTCTCGTTCCTTCCAAAGCACCCTAGAGATGACTTTGCACGTATTCGCATAATTATGTCGGAACATCGAGCAATTGTATTGCAAGGCAGGATCGCGAGATGTGGCGGAGGGGGTTTGGGCAGGCCTTCATCCAGCAGTGGATTGGCCATTAGCTGACGATGACGAAGAAACTTAAATTGGGATGCAGCAGTCGCGCAGCAGCATTAATATCGATAATCGAAAACCCGAACGCATTCATCAATAACACCGTGTGGCGATGGCCCTTCTTCATAGCACACGAAGGTTAATCGCCCGAAACGTCGCCTCGTATTTTTTATTTTCCTTTTTAATTCCTCGGTGTTTTTTTTCTTTTTACAAATCTTGCCGCGTTATTTTTGTTGCGTCTGCCAACGCAGCAGCAGCAACATCACCACCAAAATCATAATAACACACGCCTTAACTTGGAAAATGCGCACCAGCAATACACAAGCAGTCAATGCCCCCAACCCACCATAGATCACACTACAATTGCAACTCGTACACTTAACAAGCGCGCGTGAGACGCGAGTGGAGGCGGGGGGCGGCGAGGACGAGCCTCCAAATCCCGACGCGCCATTGGTCAATACGGCGACCCCCGCCCCCCGTCGCCAGAGGGGCGACCAATCGGAACCTCGGCTCGCGCTTACCCGGGCTGGGAAATAGAAATCGAGGGGAGGGGGGGGGAGTCGTGGGGTAATGGGGGTGGGGTGCGACCACGTGCTTGTTGCGGCGCGCATATAAAGAGCCGCGGCGACTCGCACTCCGAGTACGCAGCGTGGATGTTGGGAGAGACCCCGGGCAGCCACGATCAGCAGCTACGATCAGCAGCTACGATCAGCAGCCACGATCAGCAGCCACGATCAGCTAACCAGCAGCTATAACACCAGCAAGCCATCCAGAAGCAAGCAGCGAAGAGCCCACGAGCAGCGAAACAATCACGTGCAGAGAAACATCCACCGGGCAGTGTAGCTCAACTAGTCGCCAACAAGCACTTGGTTCTTAAGTCGGCGGCACTTGCTGCAGCCAGGGCGAGCAAAAACAGTCGGCGCCCTACGGCCTCGCCCGATTACCTGGAACGTCGAACAGCAGCTGGCGGCAATGGAGCCGAGCAGTAACGGCGTCTCGTCCCCCCCGCACAGCCTCAGACGCTCCTCCAGCCACTGCCTCCGTCGCTTCCCCAGCACCAGCAGCTTGGAGCGAGAGCCCGAGGCGCGGGTGCTCGTGATCAACACGGGCGGGACCATCGGAATGATGTACTGCGGCAACGGTGAGAGGGGGGGGGAGGCACACTCACCACTGTGGCACGCGATCTCACCTCGTTTCACTCCCCAGCGGTCTCACCGCAGGAGCACCACACACGACGTGGGAAGACACCTTGTGTGTGTGTTTGTGTGTGTGTGTGAAGAGCACGCGTGCTCGCGACGTGACGCAATGGGGTTGCTTCGTGTCGTCCGTACGGATTGTGAGCACTGTAGCAGATTAACCTGCAGGTGATATCGTCATCATCACACATCATCATCCCACATCGTCATCATCCCACAGGCCGTGTTTTTCCGGGACCTCGTTTAAATCCGCCAGTCTGGAGGGCTTCCACCCCTGTATGTATTCTGTGTCGGACTTCTTTCGCAGCGTACGTAGCCTAACCGTATTCATCGAGGTGCGGCTGGGGAGACCGCAAACTAAACGCACGCAAAAGAAATGAGTTTGTCAATAATGACGATGATGTCCATGACGATGACGACGACTTGCAAGTGCTAAGATCCCCCCAGTGGCTTTCCGATGTGTCGAGCCGGGGAGAGCGTTCCAGACGGGCCGCAGAAGAAGTGCTTTCGAAAGCGCTGCGGTGATGACCCCACGTAGGGGAGAGTGATGGACAGAATGTTGTTGTTGTAGTGGCCCCAGCAAATGAACTCGTTTCCAGGGTCTGCACCGGCTGCCTGCGATCTTGATTTGAAGCTTTCGTGACTGCAGGGATCCATAATCTTTGGTTCTTTCGGTAAAGTCACGTAGGTAGAAAATACAATTAATCACGACGTTTCGGGCGCAACACAAGCAATCAACATCAGGTGGGAAAGTTTTTTTTCTTTCCCCCACCTGATGATGGACGCTTGTGTTGCGCCCGAAACGTCGATTTATTTTATTTTATACCCTACGTGACTTTTTACTCGGGTAGAGCGTGTAACCGGACCGTGTAAACATTTAAGTGCATGGTGCGTAGTGCTGACCCTAGGGGGGTATGTATGTCATGTGTATGATGTAATACCCGGGACGTATGTGCCTACCGCTTAGGGGCCGTCCATAAATGATGTCACGCACCTAGGGAGGGGGGTGGGGTTTGAGGAATGTGACGTCGCATCAAAATGCGCAGCTTTAAATACATATAGACAACACGTTCTACTTAATTAAATATACTTTTTAATAAATGTTTTTTCCTACAACATCAGAGTGCAGCGGCACATTAAATACGCATTACAATGACAATAGTTTAAAGCGATTTGAAGCATGTTTTATTTTTTTTTGGGGGGGGGGGGGCGCAGAGCTTTGCGACGTCATTTGAGGGGGGGGGTCAAAAATCGTCCCAAATCGCGCGTGACTTCATTTATGGACGGTCCCTTAAGCAAGTGGTCAAAGACAAAGATAGCCTGTAACAGACTGCTGGGGCAAGTGCTGTTAGCGAGTAGCACCTATGAAGGCCGGCACGGCACACGAGGAGGTGGGTGGCCAGCACCACGCCCGGCCGCCTTTGTCTCCCCAGTGGCGATGTTTACGATGCACCGCAAATCGACCTCTGGGCAGGAGGCCCAGCAACCGGCTCAGATCATCGTCACCGATGTTGGGTGGCCGCGAGCGGGAATCCAACTCGGGTGGCCAGGTTCGTCGCGCAAGCGCGCGACCCGCTCCACCAATGTCCACCAGCCGTGTCCCACGCATCGCGTGGACTAACAAGCTGCGTTGTTCTTGTGCACCCTCCAGACCGCCGTTGTTAGTACGGTCCAAGAGGGACGGACGCCTCGTTCAGGGATGGCCGCGAAACTGAATCGTCTTGGCGAATTTCATCCATTGTTATCGACGGTGACGACGTGTGGATATCGATTGATCGTAAATGTAACCTAATATAAACAGGGTGTGTATACCTGTCAACCCCTTGTCAGTGCCTACCTTATTACAGACCATTTCAGACCTTATTGGTCACCCCGTGCCCCTTAAATCTCAACGTTCATCCCACAAAGTCCCATCACGAGGGAGAAACACAAACAAATAGACAAACCAAATGTTGTTTACCGAATTGAAACTGCTGTACACGCCGTATGGACCTGAGAACTCAATTTCCCTGCACAAGAATACGGGTAAACCGGATGGGTTTGACAGCAGCATATGCAGGAGGATTTCTGTAACAGTCAAGATAATGGGGTGGGAAAGGGGCCATTAACTTTGGCTAACATTCATTCTAGATTTGAAGTTTTCGTGACTGCAAGGATCCATACTCTTTGGTTCTTTCGGTAAAGTCGCGTAGGTGAAAAAAAGAAAAAAAATTAAAATATAGAAATAAATATTTTTTTTGATTCTATGTTTTTCTTTTTACTTTATTTCTTATTTTTTACCTACGTGACTTTACCGAAATAACCAAAGAGTGTGTTTAGCTAACATTGCATTACAATCAGTGTTACTGGAACCCTGTTGCGAGTGCAGTATTTATATAGGTAAGACGGTTATGCATTATGCAGTGTCTTTATGCCACCGCATGTCAAGATTATTCTGCCAATTACTTTTTGTTGTTGAGAGCTGTGCAGTCTTAGCCGGAGGATCGATTGCAGTTCTTGATTCTTGACTTTTGAAACCTAGGGGGGGTCGAGTCGACCGCACGGAATGTGGAGAAGAGGGAGCTTTTAATATTGTGCACCGGAGTGGTGAAGTATGGTCAAACAACCCTGGTGATCAGCGGGGGTTGGATTGATTCAATAGCTGGAAAACAACGTGGCGTTGCGTGCGAAGTGCAGTTTTAAATCTGCACGACATCTAAGTAATTTTTGGCATTTTGGCGATGAACCAACAACAATACGTAAATAATTACAGTAACGTGTTTGTTTTTATATAACAAAAACGTTACGGTACAGTATGTATGTTCAAGCGGCAAGTACACGGTTGGATGTGGAGCTGAACGATTTGGGGTAATATATTGCGATTTTTCTGACAGATTGCAATTTGATTTGCGATTGCATTACACGCTTCAGTTCCAATATTCACTGTGTAATAGATTTGAAACATATGATGGAGCATTACCGCATGATGCCATCGAAATAGGAACTGCTCTATATATTCTAAAGCAAGGATGAGCACTTAAAAGATATGAATTTCTTTCAACATGTATTTATTAAAATGTTTTAATTTAAATAGAACAATTAAGTTAAAGAAATAAAGTTATAATAATAATAAATAAAACCATTCCAATAAGAAAGAAATGGGACTGTTCAAATCGCTCAAAATCGAACCCTTTACGATATGCTAAATCGCATTGTTTCAAATTGCGATTTCGATTTGAAATCGATTAATTGTTCAGCCCTAATTGGATGCTACGGACTCTCCGTTGTATAATCTAGACTTGATACTCTTTGGTTATTTTGGTAAAGTCACGTATGTATAAAATAAAATCAATTTAATCACGACGTTTCGGGCGCAACACAAGCGTCCGTCATCAGGTGGGACAACCACAGCAAGAAACAATTGCTCAAGTGGGCAAAGGGGGTTGCTGTATAATTTAGTAGCAGGCAAGAGGACGCACTTGAAATGCAACACTGTATAGCCCGAGTCACTCCCGTTACAGACGCGTTTCGTTTGTTCTTTGCACAGGCTGCGAGTATATTGGTGTAAAATGTGCTGCATCCACACAGCCCCCCCCCCCCCCGTAAGTTTGCAAGCATAGAGAGCCAGGCCATTAATTCACCTACTCGCTCGCCAGCGTGGTGAAGTATGATCAGACCCCCCACCGTGACCGCTCCGGCTAGATGTTATCTCATTCGTCTGGTATGCAGGAGGTCGTGGGGGATCGATCCCGACTCTGACACCTGTTGTATATTGGGAGTTTGCGTGTCTCTCACCATCTGCCCGTGGTTGGTGGATTTTTTTTCTTTCTCCAGGCCCTCCAGTTTTTCCCCTCCGCATTTAGAATCGGCATGCGTTTTTGAGTATTTGGCTGCTGTAAATTTCCACATAAGCCATTTCTTAAAAATAACTGTTTGCTCTGTGGGCCTTACCTGGTAAAATACAATTTTTTGTTTAGTTTAGCGTGAGGGGGTGACCCATACACTGGCCAGCGGTCCGATAGACAAAGGGGCGCATTTGCACAAAGGTCATCACCACCTCGCCACTGGAGGAGCTTTTATTCCAGATACTAAACTAAACTTTTTATTTTGTCAGGTAAGGTCCACTGAGCTATGCAGCTCTTTTTCAGAAGCGACCTGGCCATAATGATAGCGCGACGAAGTGGCTTGTCACGTGGAAATGTAGAGCGGCCAAATACTGGAGGCCCCAGAGAAATTCGCGTTCTGTGCCCTCTGTTCATCAAATGACAAATGGAACATTCACAAACTCTCCTGCACTCACCCAGAACAGACAATGTGGAACCAATAACGAACGGCTCTACACCTGATTCACAAATACAAAGGAGGTGGCATCGTCACATGACACAGTTAATCTGGCTCATTTAGCCACCTTTAGTGTCCAATGATAGTTGTTACTCTACACCAGGGGTGAGGAACGTCCGGCCCGCGGGCCGTACAAGGCCCGCGAAATCATTTGGGTCTGACCCCGACAAGGCAGCCGCAGGCGGGACTCGAAATTCAATACATCTAGGAGCAAACCTGAAAAAGCAGTTGCGAGTAGCGACATCATCAATACCAGCGAACACCACACGCCTCCCCAAAGAGAAGCAGTTCCAGGCATCACATTAGGGTGAGTTAATTAAATGTTTGACCAAACATAACGGCAAATTTTTAAGTTAATAATTTTGTATGGCCAGCGAATGATGTTCTAAATAATCCAAATGTCCCTTGGCAGAAAAAAGGTTCCCCACCCCCTGCTTTACACCAACATCAGACGAGCAAAGATCATCCGATTTGAAGCAGGACACTGCTAGTTCTTTGTGTGCGTGGCGATGGAGATTGGCAACACTGCTTAACGCCCCATTTAATTTGCCATTCGGAAGAAACATTGCGTCAACCAATTAATCCAGGGATGAACTTTGGGGGCCAGTGCGCGCTGCTTTGTGGT